CTCACGCGTTGTCCCCAGCAAACGCACATCGGCTCGGCAGCCCGTCCTCCTTTCTCGGCCGCCGGAGTTCGCCCTGTCTCCCCCCTTCCCCCCGTTCTTCCGCCCCTCCCGTCCCTCCTCCACTGAGCACAGCACCCCCTGCGCCGTCGCCGCCGCTCAGCGCTGTCCTCGGTAGTTCCCCCCCCCCGCCCCCCCCGCTCGCTCTGCTTCGCCCCATCCTCGCTTCCTCATCCTCTCCTAATGCGGCTGTCTCTCTCTCTCTCTCTCTCCATCTTGCCCCACCCCCCCCCTCCCACCTCGTCCACCCTTCGTCTCCCGGTGTCTGTCTCCCTCTTCCGGACCCCGCCTCTGCCGGAATAGGTAGCTTGCGCGTGTGACCCGGCGACATGGCCTTCCACCACACCACCGAGACGTCCCTCTCGGCGCCAAGCCAGCCGGCCTCGCCCTCTTCCCTCGATGGGATGTCTGCCGGTGGCCCGGGTGGTGCCCTCTCCGGCATGTACCCCTACGAGCGCCTGGACTCGCCCGTCCCCTCGGAGTTTGGGGCCCACCCGCGGCGCTTCTCCTCCATGCCCGGTGGCGGGGACCTAACCGAGAGCACCTCCCCCGGCGATTCGGCCATCTATCCCGAGGCCGGCGACTCGGAATATTCCGGCTTCTCCGTGCGTGCCAGGCCGCCTCCCTGCATGCGCACATGCACATCGACGCTCTTCCTCCCCCTCCTTCTGCTTGTTGTTGTTTCCCGCCTGCCTGTCCTCCCCCCGTCTCACCTTTCCCTCTCCCCTCTCTCCCCTGTTCCCTGCTCTTGTCCTCGCCTTTAGAACTCCCCGCATCATGGTGGTACGTCAGGCATCACCCTTCTACCGTTTGGCAGCCTTCTCCCCCCCCCCCTCCCCGCCGCCCCAGTCCATTGACCGTCGTTTTTTTTTCGTTCCTTTGCCCCACAGCCTTCACCGGGGGCGCTGGATCTGGCTCTGCCACCGCCGCCACCACCTTCGGCACTGCTTCCCGGTATGAGCACTTCGGGGCCCACCCCGCCGGCGGTCCGGTCGACGAGGACTCGGGCGCAGGTGGCCCCGCTCATTCGGCCGACCGGCGTCGGCCCTCCGGCCTGGTGCTCCCCAACGGCGCAGGCCCCTCCCATCCGGCGTTGGCAGCGGCCAAGTTGAATGCCGGCAACGGGGGCCCCTATGCCGGGCCAGGCTCGCATGCCAGCCTCCTGGGCTCCGGTCCTGCGGGGTCCATCCCCTCACCGCGCACCTTCCTGGCCGAGCACCTGAATGAGATGACCATCGACTCGCCGGATGGCGGGCGCGATGGCACCCATGGCGGTGGATCCACCTCTTCCTTGGCTCAGCCGTCGCCGTCGCTGGATTCCCTGAGCGCCAGTGGGCTTGCACGGCCGCGGTCCCGTGGTGCCCCCTTCCCCGGGGTCAGCCCGTCCGGCGTGGTTGGGTCCTCCTCGTCTCCCTCCCTGCCGGCGGCGGCCACTGGTCCCGGCTCGTCGGAGGCCACGGCGCCGTCGTCCATCGATCATGACGCCTCGGCGTCCTTCTTTTCTGGCGGCGGCGGCGGCGGCGGCGGCGGCGGGGTTCTCCCCTCGCCGACGCAGTCGCCCAGTGGCTCGCCGCACCTGACGGCCCCCGGCAGCCCTGGCAGCCCGGCTCCCCTGCGGTCGCGGTCTTTCTCCGGGTCCTCGGCCCAGCCGCAGCGCGGCTGGAACCCCTCCATCCGCGCGGCCCTGCAGCAACACTACCATTACCAGCAGCAGCCTCGGCATCCCGGGCAATCCGGCAATGGTCCCACCTCCGGGGATGGGTTTTCCCCCTCGGGGCATGGGACCTCCCCGGCGCCGGGCTCGCCGCCTTCCTCGGTCGCGGGGATGGCCCTGCCCACGGCTCGGCAGCGTTCGCATTCCCACACCACCGGCGGCAATGCCGCCGGGCACTTCCCCGGGGAGTGGAATACCCCGGCAGAGTCGGGCACCGGGAGTCCGACGGCCCCACTGCCGGGTGGGGCATCGCCCGCCCCCTCGCGCGGCTTGGCCATCCCGCCGGGCAACCCCGGTGCCACGGGCTCCACCGCCTCCCTTCCACACATCAGCGTCCCGCCGTCGGCCTTGTCTCCCTCATCGCCCCTGTCGCCGAAGTCGGCCCTGGGGCTTGGCATTGGTGGTGGCCCGGTCGACCCGAGTGGGTCTTTCAACTTCGCGTCGGCCGGCGGCTCGCGCCCTAGCTCGCCGCTGACGACCACCGCCCCGGCCTCGCACTCGCCACTTCCGTCGCCGCTTCCGGGCGACCTGTCCAAGCGCGAGATCAAGTCCCAGACCCACCACCCGCGTGCCCGGTCGCAGTCTCTCACGTCGCGGTCTCTCCCTTCGGCGACCATCGATCGGAGCACCAGTCGCCTGCGGTACCCGGTTGCCCCGTCGCCTCTCGGGACCGAGGTGGACTCGGATGTGGAGACCGGTGGCCCGGTGGCCCCGAGTCCTGGGCCCGCGGGCGAGTCGATGCCCTCGGCGGCCGGCTATCACCATCACCACCAGCAGCAGCAGCAGCAGCAATCATATCACCAGCAGCAGCATCAGCAGCCGTCGCACCAGTACTCCCAGTACCAGCAGCATCCCCAGTATCAGCAGCAGCCGCAGCAGCCATACCAAGGCCAGTATCCCCCCCAGCAGCAGCCGCAGCAGCAGCAGCAGCCATACCACGGTCAGTATCACCCGCAGCAGCAGCAGCAGCCGCAGCAGCAGCAGCAGCCGTCGCACTACCAGCAGCCATATCAACAGCAGCCATATCAGCAGCAGCAGCACCACCACCAGCAGCAGCAGCCATACCAGCAGCAGCCGTATCAGCAGCAGCCATACCAGCAGCACTCGGCCCATCAGTACCAGCAGTACCATCACCACCAGCAGCAGCACCCGCAGCAGCAGCAGCAGCAGCAGCAGCACATGTACCACGGTCATGGCCCGACAGATTACACCATGGCCGCTGGTGTCCCCGATGAGCAGGGTCGCATGTCGCCAGACCTGACCACCACCGGTCCCCCCGGGGCCAATGGAGACTCGGATGGCCTGGCTTCGCCGCAGCACTCGTCACCGCGGTCGGCCGGCGCGCCGGGCAGTCTGGCGGCCGGCCGCCGTACAGTGGCCACCCCTTCCCACGGGAGCGGGAATGCCATGGCCGGGGCCGGGGCCGGAGCGGCGGCCGATCCCGATGCCGAGAGCGGCCTCGAGTCGGATGGCGGGTCGGGGCTGGACTCTGACGGCCAGGACTCCGGGTCGGACTCCGACGATGGGGACTTCCCCGAGGCGTCGGCCAACGGCGGGGCCCTCGATGGCGGGTCCGGCAAGGGCTCCTCCAGTCGGTCGCGCGGCCGGTCCGGGTCCATGTCCTTCGGGACGAGTGGGCCCCTCGGCGGTCGGTCTGGCGGGGACCTGTCGCACCTGCCAGCCGGAGCCGGGGGCCGGACCGGCCGGAGCTCCCTCATTGCTGGCGGTCAAATCCGCGTCGAGGGATCCAAGAAGCTGTATGCGTGTATCTTTGACCCGGGGAATTGCGACCGGGTGTTCAAGCGGTCGGAGCATCTGAAGCGCCACCTGCGCACGCACACCGGCGAGAAGCCCTTCACCTGCAGCTTCCCCGAATGCCTGAAGACATTCTCCCGGTCGGATAACCTGCAGCAGCACATGCGCACGCATCAGACCCAGTCAGATCGTGGCAGTGGGGTCGGCAGTGCCACCGGCAGCAATGGGTCCCTCGGGCCGCCTCCTCTGAGCCCGGTTCTGCATGGCGGCATGAATGGCGGCGGGGGTTCCAACTACATGTTCCCCTACTCGTCGGCGGGCCCGGCGGCCGGCAGCCCGCTCAAGAGCATCACCCTGCCCTCGTCGCCGACGATCCCCTCCTCGATGATGGGTGGCGGCCCGGCCGGGGCCAATGGGTCCAGTGGGTATTTGGCCGCCGGTGCCGGGGGCATCTCCCCCTCGATCACCCTCTCCTCGTCCTTGCCCGGGCCCGGGGGGATGATGCCGCATCATCATCCGCACATGCGGAACAACCTTCCCCCGCCGATTTCCACCTCCTCCACGGCCTTGCATGGGAGCAACTCTTCGCTCTACTCCCCCGGGTCTCAGGGGCCCATTTCTCCTCAAACCGGGCTTGCTGGCACCGGCGGCGGCATTGGCAGCCACACCATCGTCGACACGCCCACGTCCGATGTGATGGGCTTCCCCTCGCACCTGGGCTCGGGTGCTGGCGGCCATCCTCACCATCATGGTCTTCACCATGGCGGCAGTGGGGTCGGTGGCCCGGGTGGACATGCGCACCACCCCCACCCCCACCATCCCCACCACCACCATGCGGGCGGCGGCGGCCCCTCCGGCCATCATGCGCATCATGCGCACCACTCGCATCACCACCCCCATGCCGGTGCCGGTGGGCCCTTGCACCAGCAGCAGCAGCAGCAGCAGCAGCAGCAGATGCATCATGGCAGTGGTGGGGTCAGCGGCGGCGGCCACTCGGGCTCGCACCTGTCACATCATCCTCTAAGTGCCGGCTCGGGTTCGGGGAATTTCTTCCTCTCCACCCAGTCCACCTCGCTGTCCGGTACTTTGACTTCCTCGCAGGACCAGATGCATCATCTTGGCGGTGGGGGGGGTGCCGTGCCGGGTGCGGGGGGCGGCTACCCCTCGCCGCACATGCAGCACTATGGTGGTCGTGATGGCGGCCCCGGTGGCAGTGGCTATGCTTTGGACCAGCATGCCTCCCCATTGGGCACCATGGGTCGGCCCTTCCCCGGGGGCTATCCCTCTGCCACGTCGATTCCCCTGTCTGCGACCGGGTCCCTGGGGCCTGGTCTCGGTGGCTCGGGTGTCGTTGGTGCCGGCGCCGGTGCCGGCGGCAGTGCATCCGACCTGACGGCCACTCGGTCGCCACACGAGGGGGGCTTCCTGCAGTCGCAAGCTGGTGGCGGTCCCCCGGGAGGGTCGCCGCCCCTGCACCCGCATATCTCCCCCATCGGTACCATTCATTCACATACCATGCATCACGGTGCCGGAGCAGGGCCGGGCGCCCTCGCCGGTGCCGGTGGTGCTGGCGGTGGTGGCCGGGGTCTCCTTTCCTCGGGCAACTTCGCCGGCAGCGGCCCCGGCGGCGGTGGTGCCGGCTTCGATGGAAGCGGGGACTTCCATGGGAATCCTCTCTCGGCGGGAGCCCGGGTCCCGGTGCCACATCCCCACTTGTCCATGGTGGACTTTGCCACGCCTGGTGCGCCGCCGGGGTCGCGGCAGTCGGCCATCGGCGCCGGAGCGGCAGGCCCGCATCATCTCGGCACCGGGTCCCTGCTGTCGACGGCCAATGCCAGTGGTGGCTTTGCCGGGCTGACAGACTTTGCCCTTCGGCCACGGTCTTCCTCCTTCCCGCACCGGGTTCCCGACATTGCGGGCGGCGTTGACGCCGCTCATCTCGGTGTCGAGGCAGGCGGGGCCTCCTTCCTGCACGCCACCGGCGGTGGGGCCGGGGTGGATGACCGCCTGCGCACGGTGACCCCCGGTCTTGTCGGAGGCTCGTCGCTTGTGAGCCATCTCGATCAGCAGCATGGTTCCCCGGTGGGTGCCGGTGGCAAGATGCCCAGCAGCCCGGTGTACTCGGGCTTCCCGCGGCATTCGTCGCAGCCCGGCGTGGCCGGCGGCGGAGCAGGCGTCGTCTCCCCGCGCGATGGCTCGGAGTTCCTCGACGGCGCGGCATTTATGGAGCCTTCTGGCGGCGGCGGCGGTGGTGGTGGTGGCTCCTCGGGCGGAGGCGGCCCCGCCGGTGGTGCGGCGCACCTGGCCGGGCCGCACTCCTCGACCGACAGTCTGTCAGCGCCGGCCGGTGGTGGCGGTGGTGGTGGCGGTGGCTCCGGCACGTCTGGCAGCTTCTTCCGTGGTGCCGGTGGTGCTGGCGCCGGTGGCTCGATGTCCCCGACGCATTTGCTGTCGTCCCCGGGTGGCGGTGTCATTGGTGGAGGACCCGGTGCTGGTGGTGGCTCCATGATCGGCTCCACCAGCGGCGAGCATGGTGCTGCGTCGGTTGGCTTTTACGGCACGGTGAGCCAGTCATCTCGGCCTCTGGGCAAGCCGCAGGCCGGGAGTGCCGCCGATGCCACCATGGATTCGCTCGCCTCCGACTCGGCGCCCGGCGGGGGGGGATACACCAGTGTCCCGTCGCCCCCGGAGGAGTCCGGTGCTCCGTCGGCGCCCTCCTCCTCGTCCTCCTTCATGGGAGGCAACTAAGGGAGCCCGGAGATGTGCACATACACACACATGTCTACAAACACACACAGATAGCGAGTGAAAGGGGAGATGAGTGGGAGTGGACAGCTGTGACTACTGGAGGGCATGTGTACGCGCGCGCGTGGGCTGCCCTCCCTGAAGTCCGGCATGGATGTTCCTTTGTTCCTTCCACTGAGCATTCCCTTCTCCCTTCCCCTCCCTCCCCCTCCTTGTATTTCCCTCCTCCCTCCGCCTGTTCTCGGCGATGGTGTGGTGTGTCCTTTCCCTTTTCCCCCCTCCCCTCTCCCCCCCCCCCCCCCCCCTCCGCGCGCGCTCCCGTCCTTGTTGCCTGAGAGCAGCCCTCGTCCGCTTCCCTCCCTCTTCCTTCCACTTCGTGGGACTACGGGGTCTGCTCGATGTGCGGGTTGTGTTTCTCCACGTATCCCTCTCTCCCTCTCTTCCCCCTTCCTCTCGCGTCTTCTCCATACTTCCCTTCTTACCTTCCTCCTTGATCAAGCGCTTGCGCCTGGTGATTTATACACAAATGTGAAAGTCCTTGCCCTGTGTGTCCCCGCTGCATATATATATATATATATATATATATGTGTGTGTGTGTGTGTGTGTGTGTGTGTGTGTGTGTGTGTGTATGTGTCGGGCTGCGTGTCATTCTGCGTTGCTCTTTCGACCGAGGCGCGGGCGAACGCGAGCACGTCACACAGGCCAGGCACTTCCGGTGGCGATCGTGCGCCTCTTTCTCGCTGTGGATTTCCCCTGGTATGCCCTCTCGGGCGCGAGGCGCGCTCGGTTGGCATCACAGGCGAGATCATGATGTGCGTCGATCGCCGCTGCTAGAGGCGGACATCTCGCCAGGGTGAGGGCGTTTGAGAGGGAGCGAGGGAGGGACAGGCAAAGGAAAACAAGCAGCGGGAGAAGTCGGCGGGTGGGCACATCCTCCCCGGCGCCGCGGCTCCGGGGGTGGTTAAAATGCTGAGTTGGCATCCCCATGTCACTATTGTTGCATTGCCGCGGCCTCCGCTCGGTGAGGTGCAATCCAAGCGCGCCGGCGGCCGATCTCTTGGCGAGCCGATCCCACTCGGCAATAGCATTCCCCTGGACTTCGGCCCGTATCCATTGGCATCTGGATCCTTTGCTGCCGCCCGACAGCGCTATTTAAAGGCGCACCCGCACCAGGGCGGTGCGGTCGGCATGGGAAGGGCCTATCCCCCCGCCCCCCTCCCTTTGATACCCCTTCCCTTCTTCCTTCCGTCTCTCATCATTGGTACTGGCTCCTCTCCGCCTTCCCTGTTTCCTCTCTCTCTCTCTCTCCCTCCCCCTCCCCCTCCCCCTCCCCTCCCCCTCCCCTCTCGCCTGATGTCCTCTTCTCGACGCGTCGTATTTCTTACCAACGATGGGCCTGCTCTCCACCCGTCTTTGGAAAGTAAGCGGCGCAACATCCACCAGCAGCGGGCCCTGATGCTATCTTAGCTTCAGGGGCCGTTTCCGGGGCTTGCTGCACATTTCTGGTGCCTCATCGTGCCCCCTACGCACGGGTGCCTCTCCGTGCTCCAACCCAAAATCCCCCCCTCTCTCTCTCTTCCTCTCATATATATTTTGTCCTCCACCATGCTGACTCTCTTCCCCTCCTCGCCCCCTCCCCTCCCATATCAAGGCTATGGCAGTTTGTCGTGTGTTTCCGACCGTGTGTGTAGCGCACGCCCACGGGAGATGCTCTTCTCCTTTGTCGGACTCTGACGCGCCTCACTCCTGCCTGGCGGTTGTTCCCTTCGGGCGCCATTCTTTTTCTTTAATCATATTGAATCCCGGTTGTGATGGCAGAAGGCCGGCGGCGAGGGGGGGGGGGGGGCGGGCGGTGCGGGCTGAGGGAGGGGCGGACAGCGGAGGCCCGGCTCAAGCCGCACTCGGTGAGGTGTGACAGTGTGTGTGTGTGTGCATGGGTCCCCAGAGGCACGAAGCCAGAGTTCCACACAGTTTTTCTACTCTGCCCGCGTTTCCCCCCCGGCCCTCCGTGTGTCTGTGCTGAAAGCGAGCCGTCGCTTTCTGCCTTCGTGCGCGCGATATCTCCCCAAGGCGAGGGGGCAACATTGCCGGTGCACGTGCTCGCCGGGGGGAGGGGGGCATATCCATGTCGTCAGGGGCCACCTGGGAGCCGAGTTGCCGGGGAGGAAGTCTATAAAATGTATTCATCGGGAGGAGAGAAGGAAGGGGGAAAAAAAAAAACCCAACGAGAGGAAGGCCCAGGCAAGTTCAGTCTCGCGGCACGTGAGTGCACATTGGCCAGGGCGACACAGATGAGGTGGCTGCCACTGTGTCGCCAACGCGCCGCCTTTCTGGAGGAGCCATCACCGGGCGGGTCGAAGCCCATCCGTATGAGACACAGGGGACAGGGACACAAATGCACGGACACACAGACACAGATGCGCACATGCATGTGGATGGCTTGTTGCTTCTGCTTTTGCCCTGCACATTCTCAAGGGGCGGGCGACGGGGAGAGGCAATACACCAGGAGGTATGCCTGGCGGCGGGCCACCCCTTCGGGCGTGACACGACTCACTCGGGCATCGTCATACGTGAACCAGCCATTCGGCGAGTCGACCGAGGCCCGGACATCTGCGATGTAATGTCCCTTCTCGGCACTATGGATGGGAGGGGAGGGGGGGGGGATGTCAACGGCGCGAGGTGGCAGACGTGGTCAGGGGGGGGGGTGCCCAAAAAGAGGCAGGCGCAAAAGCGAAGGCCCTGGTGTTCTGCCCTCTCTCGGCGGGAGCATACCTTGTGCCAAGATGTGCCACGACAGCCGTCAGATGATACTCGGGGGCGGAGATCGGTGCGGGGGCCGATTCCCCGGCCAAGAAGGCCGTGAGCGCTGGCCCGGCCTGGCTCAGGAAGGAGGAGGAGGAGGCAGGTGGCGTCCCGCTCGGCGAGGGCGTGGAGGAGGAGGCGTGTGCAGCGCTAGCGCCATGGCCTGGCCGCAGGCCAGTCAAAGGAAAGGCAATGTGCGTCGACAGCTTGAGCCGGCGTCCAGCGGCCGCTGCTGCTGGTGCCGACGCCGCGGCCGTGGCCGCCGCCACCGCCACCGCCGGGCCCTGGGATTTGGAATGTGAGAGGCTGGACGAGCTGGCCGTTTGGGCGGCGGTCCGGGCACCGGATGGGCAGCGACCAGCCGCATCCGAGGCGACGCCCTGTGAGGAAACAAGGTCGACATTGGCCTGCTGCCAGACAAAGCGCTTGATGTGCACCAGGAGAATCTGCTCCCATGGAGAAGGGGCAAGGGAAAGGCGGTGAGCAAGAGGAACGCAGGGCACAAAGCCCAAAGGCGGAGATCAAGCGGGCTGGGGACAAACGCACAGACGGCCAATGGAGGATGACAATCTGCTTGGACGCCGGTGCGCGCTGACCGTCGCACTCGGCGGAAGCGCACTTCGGCCACTCTTGCTGGTCAAGTGCCTCAACGCGAGAGTAGTACCGAAGGCAGTCTGTGGGCCATCGCCCATGGGGATGGGGCAGGGCGAGGCCAGGGGAGGCAGACCGCGCATGATGCGCGCGCGTGTGCGTGCGTGCGTGCGTGCGTGCGTGCGTGCGTGCGTGTGAGAGGGATGGCAATGGCAAAGGGACAGGTGGGCAGAGACACAGGAAGCACACATACCTTCCAGTGTGACACGGTGCGGGTCGGCACATTCCGAAGCAGGAGGGATGTCGACGGAGAGGTCGAGGAAAGGCTCCACTCGTTCGGACACCCGGCCACATTGGAGGCAGCAAAGCCGGCTCAAGAGACGCCCACCAAAGAGCCCGGACACGGGGGAGCAGTCGCCAGGCCGCCCGGCCGGGTCCGCCGCCATGGTCGGGCCAGCTCCGGGAGATGCGGCAGCCGACAGGGGGGAAGAGGGGGAGACCACCGACGAGGGCAAGGGCCGGATGTTGGCCATCTCCGAGTGCAGGGCCTGAAGCATGCAGCGAATGAACTCATGAGCATCGTGCTGCTGGTCGTGCCATTGGCTGACCGAGGTCAGCAGATCATCGAAGTTGAAGGAGGGGCTGCGGCTGAGGCTGACCCGGGTCCGGGCCGGCGCGTCGCCCGGGTGCTGTGGCAGGCCCGAGGAAAGGGGCTGATGGTTGGGGCCCACCGAGGCCGAGGGCGACGCCTGCTGCTCGGCTGGCGGCAAGGGGGCCGCCGGGTGCGGCAGACATGCCGCCGGTCGGAGGTCGGCAGCGCCGGCACAGGGACCATTGCCCGCGGCGCGAGCGGCGACGATACCCCGGCCAGGGCCCGACCAGAGGCCCAGCTGCTCCAGCGGCGGCAGGAGCTCGCCCAGTCCGAAGGATGGTAAATTGACGGCCAGCGAGCGGATCAGCCGTCCCGGAGATAGGGTAGCCCCCTGGCGCGAATGCATATGCCGCAGGAGGGCATGCAGCTCAGTGGCGATGCTCCTGGAGACGCATGTGCGTGGACATGCACGTGTCAGAGTGGACGGGGGGAGGGACCGATGGGCGAAGCAGCATGTGTGTGTGTGTGAGAGAGAGAGGACACCGGTGAGCGAAAAAAAAAGAGGCCAAGAAAGCGGGCGCCGAGAGCGCGCAAAAGGAGGCCACGAGAAAGGGCAAGCTGAGGGAGAAAAAGAGAGAAAAAGAGAGAGAGAGAGAGACCAATGAGGTCCCCTCTCACCATCAGCCTCATATATGCATGGGGCTCCCCTTGCACGCACCATCCACTCGCAGGTGGGTCCGAGCCCAAGGTGCCGGCGCGGGGAGGCCGCGAGCTGGCGCCAGCGCGCGATCGCCGAGGCGGGCCAATGCCATCGCCGCCGCCGATGTCGGCCATCTGTGCCGGCAGAACCAGGGCCGGGTTTCGACGGACGGCATCCTCGAAAGCCAGAAGGCCCGGGTGTCGGATGGTGTCATCGGCATCGGCGACAGGGGTAGTGGTGGCGGCGGCGGCGGCGGCGGCGGCGGAGGTGGCGGTGGCCGCGCCATCGGGTCCGGCCCAGATGAGGTTGGCCCAGGCCAAAGCACGAGTCTTCAAGCCCTGGAGGAGGGCCAGGCGCTGGCAGGCGCCGCCAGCCGGCCCGGCCGGGCCGCCCACCGGCAGGTCGGTCATCCGGGACCAGGCAAGAACATCGGCCATGATGGCCGGGTCATCCTGCTGCTCGTCGGCCAGCAGGACCCAGGGCCCGGGGAAGTTCAAGCCCGGGCCGCTGGCCGCGGTGAGGCCCAGCTGCGAGGCCGGCACAAAGTGGAAGAGCATGAAATCCCGGAAGGGGGGCGCGCTGACCAGGGCCTGGATCGAGGCAGCCAGATAGCAAGTCGAGCCCAGGTTGCGCAGGGCAGCCGTCGGGCGCCGGTCGGCCCCGGTCAGCATCGGCGGCAGAGGCGGCAGCGGGGCCTGGCCCGCATGCCGCGAGGCCCGGCTCAAGCCACGCCTGGGTGGCAGCAGGTCGGCCTCGGACGGCGAGCCATCGGTCTGGCCGCCGGCCGGGGCCGGTGCTTCGGCCGAGGGAGCCGACATGGCCGCCGATGAAGCACGGCATCGGTCGAGGACCTCCACAAATGCAGCACCAAGGGGAGAAAGGAAATCCGGCGACGGGGCAAGCACCGCCCCGGCCGGTGGCTCATCCAAGGGCGCGACCACGGTGAATGCCGGATTGAAGAGGGCCGGGCCAGACGCCGCATGGGCGTCCACCGGGCACGGGGAGGCGGAGAGACGCCGACCGCGGCCGGTGGCAGTCTGCCGAGATGAGGCCGCGTGTGCGTGCCCCTGGCCGGCGGTGCGCGCGCGTTTGTACCGGCGCCGACGCCCACGCGGACCGTCGGAGTAGTCCGCGTCGCTGTCCTCATCATCGCTGGTGTCCTGGTACTCATGGTCAGTGCCATCCTCCTCGTCCTCTTCGTGGTCGTCATCATCGGCCGAGGAGGAATACCGGTGGAAGTGGTGGTGGTGGTGGTGGTGGTGCGAGTGCCGGGACCGCCGGCGGTGGTGATAGTCCTCCTCGGGATCTTGGGCGTCGATGGGGGCCTCGGGAGAGGGCGAGCGCTCGGACATGCTGGCGGCAGCGGCAGGGCCAGCCTCGCTGCCGGAGCCGGCCCCGGGATCGGCTTCGAATCCGACCAAGTGGACCATGTGCGCCGTGTCAATGGGCAACGTGCGGATCTCATGGAGCGAGTCCGGCGGCGGGGGGACCTGGTGGTCCGGGGCATTGGTGTCGCCATCCGAGGGCATGGGAGCGGCTTCGCCGGATGAGCCGGGCGCCTCGGCTGGCCGGTGGGGCTGGCTCGGTGGGTCAATCAGACGGACGCTGCGTGACCGACTGGCAGCCAGGGGCCGGAACTCGCGCTCATTCTGCCGCCGGGAGTGGGCCACATCGTCCATCAGGTCAAAGAGCTGCTTCAGTGGCAGGACCGTGGCCTGTCGTGCGGCGGCGATGGCAAACTGCCGTGGCCGGTCAACCTCCACCGATGCCGGAAGGGGGACCATCGTGCTGCGGAGCACTTCGGGGGAGATGTGCATGGTGACATTGCAGGCGAGGCTATTTCCCCATGCCGCAGCCGCATCAGGCGCACCAGCGGACAAACACACACACACACACACACACACACACACACACACACACACACACACACAGGGACATGTGGCAAGAGAGGGGCGGAGCCACGAAGGGGGTCAGCTTTTGCGTCGGAAGGAGGAGGAGGAGGAGAAGGTGCGAGAAAGAAAGTGCGGTATTTCTGCGGAAGAAAAGAAGAAGAAAGCAGCGACAGGCCCCCGGACAGAAAGAGGGCGAGGGAGGGAAGGAGAGGAAGCGAGACAGGGGGGATATATGCGCCCGAGAGGCGGCGTGGCAAGCCCCATCCGCACGCGGAACTCCCCCCGGCCCCTCCCCCCCCCCCCTTTGTACCGCCCCCCCACCCCAGAACCCAAACACACATACACAAGCGCCGACCACAGGACGCGGTGGCCAAAAGAAAAAAAAAACACGCACCAGCTGATGTAGCGAGTTGCCAACGAAAAGAAGAGGCTGTGCTCGTGAAGGCGCCGTTCGAGCTCGGCGATGCGTTGTGATGACCGGGCCGCCGCCGCCGCCGCCACGGCGCCGGCCCCCTTGTCCGACCAGCGCCCGGAGGCGGAGCCAGTGGCGGTGGTGGCGGCACGAGCGGCCTGGCGATTTTGTGCGACCGTCAAACGCCGGGCCGCGGCGGCGAACTCCACATCGGCATGGTCGAGCCGGTGATTGGCCATGTCAACGCCACAGCGCCGGGCGCCACAGCCGAGGCACACCTCGATCGATTCGGCGGTCTTGCAGTCTGTCGAGCCGGGCAGCGGTGGCCGGTCAGCGAGGGGCATTTGAGAAAGAGAGAGAGAGAGAGAGAGCGCGCGCGCGCGCGCGAGAAAGAGAGGGCGAGGGGAAGAAGGAGGCAAAGCGCGGGCACGGGCCGGGGAGCAGGATGCATAGGGGCGGCGTGCGATCATAGGGAGCGCACCTTGGCAGGTGGGTGATAGGAGCTCAACCCGGGCATTCATCTGCCGCAGCCAGGACCGGGTCTTGGCCAGGACCGGGGCAAAATGCGGACACGGGCAGTCCGACGCCAGGTCCGACAGGCCACCGTCAGCCGGATCAGGCAGGGGGCTGGCGGCAGCCGACCGGGGAGAGTCATCGCTTGCAGAGGCCCCATCGTGGCTCTCGGGCTCATCGGCATCGCCCTCGGTGAAGTCGTCAGCATCGTTGCCACCATGATCGGGGCCATCATGGCCGTCGTTGTCGTCGGCTGTCTCACTTCCCTCCTCGGCCGGGGGTGGCCGCCTGCCAGCCACGTCCGGAGGTGTGGCGCCGGCGGCCGAACGTCCGAGCTTGCGACGGGTGCGGGGCCCTGTGGTTGAGGTGGTGGTGGTGGCGGCGGCGACGGCGGCGGCCGCACGCGCAGCCGCCACCGCGGCCGAGGACCGCCGGCGTTGAGTGCCATCGTTGTAGCGAGCCGGGGCGAGACCACGACGCGAGCGCAGCTCTCGAGGAGGCGGGGAAGGGCGCCCGGGACGAGTGGCCCGTGCGAGTGGTCGAGCATCGCCGGGCACCAGCTCCGGGCTGGTGGTTCCATCAGCTGGGGACTGTGGCTGCATCGTCGGCCGCAGTCAGGCGGAGAGCCGGTGCACGGGAACCCCAGGGGGAAGGGGGGAAGTGGCTAGATCGAGACGAGAAAAGGGGTCCAAGCGAGATGTGGAAAGGACGAAAGGGAGGAGGGGGGGGGGGCTGGGGATGGGGAGGGGGAAGAGGGGAAGGGGCGGCGTCTAGATGGCGGGGTTGCTGCTCATTGCCGATCGAAGTGGGGAATGGCCAGGAGAGACAAGGGGAGAGTGGGCCCCCCAGATGCGTCCAAGATGGCGTATTCTTCTCACACGAGGGGGATCGGGGGTGGGGGGGAGCAGAAAGCAGGAGACAGGGTGGGGAGGCGTATGTATGTGTGCGTGTGTGTTTGCGTGCGAGATCGCTGGCCGAGCGCGGGATTACACGCACACGCCCACAGGCGGAGATGAAGACGGCAGAGTTTGCCGACCAAGGGATGAGGGGGAAAGGAAGGAGGTGCGGGCGCGCGTGCGCACACACACAGTCACGCGCACACGCGCACACGCGCACGCACGCACACACACACACACACACACACACACGCACACGCACACGCACACGCACACGCACACGCACGCACACGCACGCAGGGAGGCAAGAGGTGATGTGGATGGGCGTGATTGAGGGGTTGGTTCGACGTCCGCGGCGCCGGTCGGGGGGAGTGGGGGAGAGGTGGCGGATCGGGTCGAGGAGTGCTTCGGTCCAGCACCACTGGGCCAGCCGATGAGGGCGGACCCCGGCCCTGGCTCGCGGGCTGGGCCGGGGGGGGCGAGTGTGCCCGGCCAGCATCGTCCCCCCCCCCTCCCCCCCGCCGGGGCTGGGAGAGCACCCGCACTCACTCCCGTGGGAGCAGGCGGGCCAGCATATCAGGGGGCGCACAAGCACCCCCCGACACACCCCCCAACACCACCCCCCCGCACTCGTCCGCCTCATTCACAGGAAGGGCGCTGGGCCGCTAGCAGCGTGCCTGGGCAAGCAGCAGCACCCCCCCTCCCCCCTCCTGCCACCTGGCCAGTTGGTGACCAGGCATAAATAAATTGCGCCAGGTTCGAGCGTCTTGCGCCTGCATGGGGGTGCATTCGGGCCGGTTGGGCCCCCTGGAGGCATGTGCCCGATCGCCCTCGTCCCTCGACCCCCTTTTGGCGGTGGAATCTGCACGTGTCTGCACCGGAGAGACCCGCTGCGATGGGGGCTCTCTCTCTCTCTCTCTCTCACCCTTTCAATCGATGAACGCTTTATGACGACCCGGCACAAAGCACCCGAGCGCACTATTCCCCCCCCCCCCCCCACCCCAAAAGGAAAAGGGGAAGCACGAGGGGGGGAAGGAGGCCCCCGAGCCCCAGGGACTGTTGTGGGGGGGGGGGGGGGGGGGGGCAGTGCGGCGGCGGTCCTTCCGTTACCCCCCGAAACGGGGCGAGTACCGGTACCCAACAGTGCTAAGCCGGGCCACCGCTGGCAGCACCCATCTTTCCCCGGGCCGGCTGCGCCCGGCCGCCTCTAGACCGCCAAGCCTGCTTGGCGGGTCTCCCCCCGCACAGGCGCGGCAAGGTGGGCCGGCCGGCTGGCAGGCGGGGGGGGGGGGGGGGGGGGGGGGGGGGGGGTCAGTCCGCACCGCGTCCTGCAGTCCTCCCCTCTGAACAACAACACCGCCGCCGCACTGGCGGGCGTCCAGATCCCAGGTCCCACCGATCGCAGCCGGGCGGGGCCGCGGACCCCGGGTCCGGGGGGGGGGGGGGGGGGGGGGGGGGGGGGGGGGGGGGGGGGGGGGGGGGGGGGCACACACGGCCAGGCCGGCTGCCACCGCACGGCGCCCGTACGCGCGGGTGCCGGGACCCCGGGGCAGACACCCGCCCGGCAGCTGCCAACGAACGGACCCATCGTTCTGTAAGCCATGGCCGGCGTCCCGCCCTCCGGGTTGCACGCGTGTACCCCGCGCGCCCCTGCCGGGTTGCCGGGACCGGCTCCTGTGTGCCACCCCGGTGGTTTGTGTGCGTGGGAGTGCCGGCCCAGCTCCGCACATGGTCCCAGGCCGCGCCGGGCGACCCCCCCGGACGCCGGGGGCTGTCGTCTTTCCTGGCGCCAGCTTCGGGCGGGCGGCGGGGGGGACACTTGCGTAGACCCACCCGGGAGCCAAATGCAAACCCAGGAGCCCAGGCGAATTTTTGGGGACGGTGCGCAAAAGTCTATTGGGGGGGGGGGATGTTGTTGTTGTTGTTGTGCCTACTTGCCGCAGGAAGGGAGATCTGCCTGGGCGAGGCGTGCCCGTGAGGCAGCTGCTACGATGTCTGGGGGCTCTCGCGGTGCCGGCCGCGGTAGATCAGCAGAGGATTGTCACCGGCGGCCGCGGAGGCGCCGTTGCCAGAATGGCCGCCGCCTCCCCTGGTGGCGGCGTCTCCTACGGCCGCCGGATGGTGCGACAGGGCATCCAGGAAGGCTCGCTCGGCTCCCTGCTGCATGACCCACACCTTGAGTCCCGCGACGCTGGTGATCTGCGTGGCCAGGCGCGCGTCGGCGAAGCGTGTCCGGGCCTTCAGGTTCATGGCCTTGTCGTGCGTCAGCAGGATGGCCACGATGTCAATCTGCCGCCATCCAGCCGGCCCGGCATCCGGTGCAGCGCCGCCGCCGCCGCCGCCGCCGCCGCCGCCGCCATTGCCGAGTGATGATGACGGCGGCTTTTGTTGCGGTGGCGGCGACGGCGATGGCTGCTGCTGCTGCTGCTGCAGGGCGGAGGCATCGTCTCCGCGACGCCGGCCAGAGCGCCGGGCGGGCGGCCCCCGGCCCGGGCTCCCTGACTGTGGCGGAGAAAAGAGCCCCAGACGGCCCAGGGTGTGGGCCACCTCCGGCAGAGCCGGGCACGACCGCGAAGCATGGACGGCGGCGGCACCGGGGGCGCCCTCCGATGCTTGGGGGTCGGCCCCGGCAGATGGGAGATCCAGCAGCAGGGGAAGCAGATTCCACGACCGGCCCAGCAGACTGGCCAACGAGTCGGTGATGATCGTGTCCACCGGCTGGTTGGAATCGATCGTCGTGCTGAAGGGCGACCGGCGGAAGTGGTGCAGGTGTCGGACCAGCAGCTTCTTGGTGCTATGCAGCACCGGCGGGGCCGCCAGGGCTGGCTGCTGCACAGGCACCGGCACGGGCGAGGGGGACCGGCTGTCGGCCGTCGAGCGACCAGGCCGCAAGGTGTCCTCCTCCTCCTCGCCATGGTCATCACCCCCGTCGTGCTCCTCCGGCGGGCTGTCCGCGTCGTCGTCGTCGTCGTCACCGGCAGGCGGCGGGGTGCTGCCGCCGGCACCATTGCCAGACCGAGTGCCCGGCATGGACCGCGGCCGGCGACGACTCCGGCGCGTGTGGGAAAGCCGCCCGCCGGGCTGATGATCGGCACTCACCGGCATCCACGGCGCCCCGCGGGCAATCTTCCACACCCAATTGGACACGGCCTTCAGCTGGAGAGCCAGCTCCACGGCAAGTGGCCGGTCGCCACTGGCATTCGGAAGATCGAGAGGGGCGGCCGTCGACATGGCCGGGTTGTCTGCCTCACCGGCGGCGGCTGCCGCCTCGGCTGCTGCCGCCGGGCCAATGTCCCGCAGGGACTTCGGCAAGGGGGGCATGTAAAAGAGCTGGCCCACAGGCGACAGGATGAACACCCCGCCGGCCGGATCGGCCGCCGTGGTGGTGGCCGCAAATTCGCTCAATGTGAAGAGAACGCCGAACACCTGTCGGGCCTGGCTATCGGATGCCTGGCCATAGTCCACCAGCTCCGAGAGGACTGCCAGCGCAGATTCGACGGTCCACCAGCCGAGCGGGAAGTCAGTGGGGCAGTTTCTCGGGGCGGGGGGGG